CTAGGGAGACGGGAGTCATTTTGAAAATTCAAGGACTTTTGGTCCCCATCAAGTCACACAGTGAAAGGAACTGCTCCAGGTCAAAATCAGCCTTAGGTTTGAGGATGTGCCCCAACCCCATGCCAATAGCCACCCTACTGGGTGCAGTTACAGAGGCCTCTCTCTAGACCCACCTTCCCCATAGGTGCCATGAGAGGAGAGAGGGAGGATGGGAAGATGATCTCTCTGATGCCTTTAGTGCTCAACACCTCTGAAGTCCAACAATGTACTTGGTGCCTGTCAAAGACTGACGGCCAGTGTTAGGAACAGTGTGGAGGAACAGCACTTGGTCACCACTTACAAGGCACCGGGCAGGGTGGCTATTAAGTCCCTTTTATGGATGTGGAATCTGAGCTGCAGAGAGCTTGACCAGATAGCCAAGGACACACCGCCCAAGGACACAAGAGTTGAAGCCAAGTGTTCGGATTTTTAAGATGACATTCTTTCTATATACAACATGATGCTGCATCTTGCTGGGATTATTATCTTGCCAAGAGACTATGTTTTATATCTCTAGTAATGAATTCCTTTATTTAATTGGCCCTGACTATTTAGCCCACTCTAGGGCTTAGGAAACCCTGACTGATTAGTGATGTAAAATTCTGTCCCTGGAGGGTCCCAAAGCTCTCCTTCTTCTTCAATTCATGGCATTGGCCTCCCTCCCCTTCTATCAATGCCCTTCATTCTCCTAGTCACATGTCTGCCTTACTGTGCTCTCTGGGAGGGGTGAAGCTATGAAGATGAGACCAGAGGTGGCAGTGGTCAAGTGGCCCTCCTCCATCTGCCTCCCTCCTTCTGCTGAATGTTCGTGGCAGCCTGGCTCTACCTAGAATAGATACAGGCTGGTTACTCTATTAAAACTCTGGTCCTGGTCCTAGCAGTTCCCACCACACGTGTATACACACACACACACACACACACACACACACACACGGCCACTCCTAGATTTCCAAGGAGCTGGGTCAAGGTATGGGATTCCTGTTCTCTAGTTTATACAATAAATGATGATTCTGAACACGTGGGGTGAGAAGTTATAGGAAGATGTGTTCAGGCTCCACATAAGATGTAGAGCATTCTAAGAATTAAAACAATTTCACCACCAAATGGACCACCTTGGAAGTGGTAAGCAATCCAACGCTGGAGGTATGCAAGCTGATGTTGTCCAACTTGTTAGAGGGCCAGCCAAAATTATTCCTGCATCCCAAGGGTGTTGACCTAGAGACCCCTCTACCTCTTTCCACATCTACAATTCTGGAGCAGTAGAATGTGGAAGCAAGTACCAGGTGCCAGGGCATGGAATTCTAGTCCCAACATTTTCATTAACTATTCAGGGGTGGAGAACTCCTGGCCCATGGGGCTTATAAAGCTGCAAAACCATTTGGCCAGGCCCTGCCAAGGTATTAGGAGTGAGTTAATTAAATGTTTGACCAAACATAGCAGGCTAATTTTTAAGTTGATAATTTTTCATGGCCCGAGAATGATGTTATAAATATCCAAATGGCCCCTTGAATAATGTTATAAATATCCAACTGGCCCCTTGGCAGAAAAAAGGCTCCCCACGCCTGAGTTTGTGATCCTAGGTTAGCCACAGACCCTCTCTGAGCCTCAGTTCCTTTGCTATAAAATCGTGGTGGTGGATGAAACCATGGCTTTCATACTGTGCTCTGTGGACCCGGGGTTCTCTGGAGCTGCCTCTAGGATGCTGGGAGGCTGGCGGAAAGTCAAAGCGAAAAGGGGAAAGGTCTCTGGGCTCTGCCCCAACACCAGAAGAGTAGCCTTGCAGCATCAAATAAGATCTCATTTGAGCCAAGGGCACCTGCTGAGAAAGACTTAAAAACCCAAAACAGGATTGAAAAACCTTCCCAGCCAGGACCGGTTTGGTCCAGTGGATAGAGCTTCGGCCTGCAGACTGAAAGGTCCCGGGCATGTACTTTGGTTGAAGGCACATCCCCAGTGGGGGGTGTGCAAGAGGCAGCTGGTCGATGTTTCTCTCTCATCGACGTTTCTAACTTTCTGTCCCTCTCGATTCCTCTCTGTGTAAAATGAATAAAATATATTTTTAAAAAACAAAACCTTCCCAGCTCTGACGTCTGGAATCACAGTTTTATTTCAGAGATATTGACTGCCCTTTATTAACCTTTGTTAGTGCCCAGCCTCACTCTGGGTCCCATGGGACAGTGAAGTCCTTGGTCCCTTTAAGAAGACAAAACCAGATATGATCACAAAGACCAGTGGTTGTCTTTGGGTTTAATTAAATATATTACTTAGTTTGCATATTACTTAGTATGCACTGCTTCCTGGGAGTGACCTGAGGTGTAATTAGGAGAGTTGCTAACCTTTGGGCATGGAGGGCATGGCTGATAGGAAAAAATCATTATTTTCTATTTTCTCGGCATCAGTAAGAGTGACTCCAAGGGCGATGGGAGTAAGAAAAGAGGGCCCCATAAGTTTACAAGGATGTGGGTAAAGCAGTCCTTGGGTATGTCCAAAGAGATGAGTGGCTTCTCTCCAACGGAGCTGCCACCAACAGGGGAAGGTTTCCTGTTGGTTGTACGAGGAGTCTAGAAAGAAAGGTCCGTCAGTATGGCACGTGGGAAGGGCTCTGGGCCATGGCATGAGCACAGAACAGGCTTCATTGGTCCAACAGATACTGACTTGCAGATGCACACTCAGAGGACATTGAGTTATCCCTGTGGGTCCTCATCTCCTGGGGCTTCCAGGTGTCCAGTGAAACCTGCTGATCAGGGCGAATCCTCAGGGCAGGCAAAACATGCCGATCCCTACACTCACACCTTCCTGCTACTCACATTGGCATCAGTTTCTGACTTGAACATGTGCAGTGCTCACACTACAGGTGTTAAAAGAAGAAAAAGATCCCTGGGGACTGGAATTGTCATGAACAGCTGTTCAGTGATCCATTTCTGCATAACAAACTACCATAAAACTTAATGCCTGGAGGACAGAAAGTTGTTGCTATTCTTATAGCTCACTGTTCTGTCGATCAGAGACTGAGGTCGGGTATAGTAGGGATGATCAGTCTTAGCTCCATGTTGTCTGTGGTCTCACTGGATGACCCAAATGGCTGGGGGCTGGAACTGACCAGGTATTCTTCTCTCCCCATATGGCCTCTTCATAGGCTAGCTTGGGTTTTCTCACAGAATGGCAGTCGTGGCATAGGCGAATTTCTTACATGGTAGCTCATGGCTCCAAGAAACCAAGGTGTGGGCTGCCAGTGCTTCTAAAGGCTAAGCCTAGTGCCGGCACACTTTACTCTGCTCCTTCCTTAGTCAAAGCAGTCAAGGGCTGCTTAGTCAAGATTCAAGGGCGGGAAAATATATCCACCAGTCAATAGGAAGAAGGTCAAAGGTTTTGTGGCTCTATTTAATCCATCACAGATGATGTCCTAGTTTTCTGTTGATGTTATAACAAAGACCACAAGTTTAGTGGCTTTAAATCACAGACAGTTATTAACTCACAGTTTTGTAGGTCAGAAGTCAGTGACAGCATGGCTTAGTTGGTCCGCTGCTCTCAGATTCACAAAACCAAATTCAAGATGTTGCCAAAGATGTGTTCCTTTCTCCATGTTCTCGGGATGAATCTGCTTCAAAGCTTGTTCTGGTTTTGAGCAGGATTCGGTTCCATGTGGTTGTAGGACCAAGGCCCCTGTTTTCTCGGCAGCTGTTTTCACTCTCTAGCAGCCACCTGCATTCCTTAGCTCCTGGCTGCCTTCCTCCATCTTCAAAGCCAGCACTGGAGGGTCTAGTCCTTCCATGTTTTGAATCTCCTGACCTCCCTTCTTCTCTCCAAGGCTTTCTTCGTCTACCACATCTCTCTGACCAGCTCTTCTGCTTTCCCCTTCTGCTTTCTGGGGCTCATGTGAGTACATTGAGACCACTCAGAGAATCCAGGACAACCTTTCTATTTTCAGGTGGACTGGTTAGTAACATTAATTCTATCTGCAAAGTCCCTTCACAGCAGTAACTGGTTCCATATTTCATTAACTAGTCAGGGACAGGGATCTCAAAATGCACTTTAGAATTCTGCCATTCCAGGTGGCTTCCTAGAGAAGAATGGGAATGGGCTGGGCTCTGTACAGCAGTAACATCAGGAAGGGCACCGAGAAAGTGTTGTTCCTGGAAAGAGGTGCAACAGGGACAAAGGTGTGGAGGCAGGACTTCTTAGCATGCTGGGGAAGAGTAAGTCTACCAGGTGATTTGAGAAGGGTGCTGGGCAAGGAACCAAGGGCGAAAGGCCTGGGCCTCCAAAGGGGCCCACACTGAAGTATGCAGGCTTCAGAGGGAACCAGCACTTGGGTTCAGAGGTTACTAACTGAGATTTCACACACCTCTGTGGGTGTTCTAAATTTTATGGATGGGTACATGCATATTTAAAAACATGTTTCTTATTAATTTTAGAGAGGAAGGGAGAAGTTAGAGAAATAGAAACATCAATGATTAGAGAGAATCATTGATTGGTTTCCTCCTCCATGCCCCCCTACTGGGAACTAGCCCACAACCTGGGAATGTGTCCTGACAGGGATGCACCAGCAGTGACAGAAACAGGGTTGGGGAAGGTAGAACAAGAGGTTACTCAGCGCTGTGTCCTCAGACAGTGCAGGTCCCCTTTCCTCTTATTCCTCTGCCTCCCTGGCCCTGATCCTGGCAGAGCCGGCAGTTGGACAGTAAGCAAGTGGTAGGAGTGTAAAACGAACAGACTCTTTATTCTTAGTCACCAAGTCATGGGTCAGACAGACCTGAGTGGAAGGAAAGAGAGGTTTTACAATGAGTGTGAGACTGAAGCGTTGACTGAAACTGGACTGGCCCTGAAAGTGAGTCCTACTTACTAAAATGAGGCTCTTGTTAATACCAACAGTGACCCAAAACTATGGACTCTAAGATGTTCTCAAGAGACAAGGAAAGAAGACTTGATAGGATCAAGTTTAAAGGCGGGGATTAGAGAAAATAAAATCATTTCCTATCTGCATCCCATGAAGTTCAATCTCTTTATATTAGTCACAGCAATTTCCACTAGCTGCTCTAACAAATAGCCTCCAGAGTTCAGTGGCTTTACAAATGAGAAAGTGTTTAGTATTTGCACAAACGCTGATCAATGTCTGGCAGCTTTCCTGGATATCTCTGCTCCATGCAGTGACTCGGAGATCCAGGCTCCTTTCACCCTCACGTCCAACATCTTGCAGTTTCAGGACTATCCTGGCACCATCCAGGTGGCTAGAATGAGTCATGTGAGGGAGTCGTGCAACAGAAAGAAAGATTGGAAGTATGAAAAACTCTCAGGTGTAAGGGATCACGAACATGGTGGTCACTATAGTGGTCAGACAGCCATAATCATTATGTCTTTTATTCTGATAATTTTTACCCGAGGCCATTTATAAGCTAGGCACTGGGGAGACCAACACCAACAAGAAAGGGTTAGTTCTTGTCCCTTCTGGGTTTAGAGTCACATAGGGTGTGAACAAATGACTGGCCATTGGCAGTACCCAGGAATGCACGCTGGAATGGGGAGGTAGAGGGTACCCTGGGAGTGTGTATGAGGTGCACTGAAGTCAGGCTCAGTGGGAGGGACCTTCCTGGAGGAAGTGAGGCCTGAAGGGTGAAAGGCATCAACAGATACAAGGTAGTTTGTGAAGGGCCTCGGAAGAGTGTTCCAGGCAAAAGGGTCACAATGAAGAAGAACATGGTGTTTTTGGAGTGGGGGAGGGATGCATCCATCCTGCCCTTCTCCTGAGCACTCCTGAGCCCTTTCTTCCTCCACCAGCCCTGGATCCAGATGGGGTTTGGCTGTGCATAGTGCCACTCAGTCCATCCCCACCTTTCCAGGCCTAGAAGATTAGCAAGGATGGCACATTTCACGTGTGCGGTGTGACCTTGGGCAATTTAGTTACCCCTCTGGGCCTCAGTTCCCTCTTATTGAATAAAGCAATCCGAAAGTTCTTGAAGGCCCCTGGAGCCCTCTTTTGGCAATTTCTTTGCCCTAATTCTAATCTAGCCGAGTAGCAGAGCAAAAGAAGCTGGGCCTGCAGAGGGAGGGGGGAGGCCAGGCTGTGACCTCGTGGACTGGGGGATGGGGAGAGGCAGCCTGCTCCCCACCTTCCAGACCAAACCCGCCACTAATGAGGCCTGTCTTTGGAGTAATTAGCCGCAATCACAGCGCGGTGCATTAGGCAGACACGGCCTTGGTACGGCGGCGGCACCTCCCCGAACGCAGGAGCCCAGGGCTTTGAACACTGCATTACAGCGGGGGACGCGTCCTAATGTCACTTAATTACCCCAGACAGCCTCAGATGTAATCGAGCCCGGATGGGCTGGTGGGAGCTGCGCAGGCGTCCAGAGGAGGCTGATGCGTTCATAATGATGCCACTTTGCAAGACAAATCTGGCTTTGGTAGGCTGACAAGGAGGAGCACACCGTGAGGGCGGGAGGGAGTAGGCTGTGTTGCCATCTCGACAAAGGAAGGCCCTTCTACTCCCCACACCCTAGGACATCTTGACCCTAGGTTGACTGGATGTCTCCACTTACCTGCCAGAGGCAGCGGGACATTGGGGAGAGGAAAGGTCGACTTTCCTTCCCTCACTCAAGATGCTGGAGGGGTGAAGACTTTCCTCCTTGTTCTTTCATTCCATTTTCTTTTCATGTCAGTGGTGGATAACCTGGGAAGCTCTGGCAGGAGGGGAGCTGAAGACAGAGCACTAGGGAGGGTTCGATGGACACTCCAGAGCATCAGAGGTAGGGGGGTGCCCTCAAGGATGCTGGCAATGAGTTTGTGGGGAAGCCTCAGGGGCAGGAGGAAGAGCTCTGAGGTGCAAATCTGGACGCTGAGTTTCGGGGGCAGATTCTCAAGATGGTGCTCCAGTCCCTGCAAGTCCTTCCAGTGGCCAGAGACCCACCGATGTGAGAACCTGGCCTCTGAAAGGCCCTGGAAGGGGTCTGCTGCACTCCCTTTCGTATCCTCGGCATCTAGCATGGTGCCTGCCCATAGTAGGTGCTCCATAAACATTTATCGCCATGAATAGCCTATTTATCCTCCCTCACCAGTCATTTTCCTCTTTGGATCTCAGTATCCTCATCTGGGAAATGGGGCTAATGATTCCCAGCTCACCACTGAAGGCTGGGATAGCACCTGTTGAGTGAGCTAATGACAAGAGCACTTTCGATGGGTTTGGAGTCCCTACCAGAGGTGAAGGGAGCAACCACATCTGGGGCCTGCCTTGTCCACCAAACCCCACAGGCCCTCTCAGGCCAGAATGGGGAGTGAAGACCAGTGGGGAGCGAACACCAGTGGAGAGCGAAGATCCCAATGGCCAGGACTGGGGTGAAACTGCTCTAGGCTTGCAGAAGTCAAGGTCTCACTCGCCATTTTCTCCGTCAATCCCTGTCTCCCTCTTGGGCCTGCCTGGTTCCCACATGCCAGGAAAGCAGCCCTCTGGCATCTGTACTAGAGGTACTTCCAATGAGTCTAGGAATGGCTGCCATGGAAGAGAAAGTTCTTCGGGGAGGTCCTCCCTAAATAGTAATGGAGCACCGCTCAGGTGGGGACCTTGTGCAGGGTTAGTTCAAACTGCGGAGTAAAATATGTGACTATAAAGGGCTTTGGGGTTTTCTATGGATTATCAGACAGATAGATGGGAGGGGCTTGGAAGGCAACCTGCCCCTGGGGGACATGAGCTAAAGCTGAGGTTGGAGGAGGGCAGATGGCCTGGGCTACAGATCGGGGAGGACCAGAAGGTGCCAACAGAACATCTAGGCCTCAACTGCTAGGCAAGAAGTTAAGACCATACCCTTCTCCAGCCTCCAATCAGTGAATACAGAGATACAATGATGCATCTCTTTCTCTTCTGTCTCCTGGACCACCAAGGACATTTACAGGAACCTCTGCTTTTAGCTTGCTGTGTGATCTTAGTTCATCTACCCCTCTCTAGGCCTGTACAGCTCCGCTTAGACAACGAGCAGGCTGGACTATATGGTTGCTTTTAACGTTGATATTCCATCTGTCTGTGACACAGTGGAGCTAGGGGAGACACTGTTCTTTCTGGGATCCCTTTCACTGCACCCCATAGCCCATGCCCCGCCCCCCCCCTCCGCCCCGGAAGGCCAGCAGTCACTGTGACCCTCAGTGACATTGAGGGGCATGCTATTCTCTACCCTGCCCAATGGGCCATGTGCCAACACCTGCCTTCTCCCCGTGAGCCATCCATCATTGTCTTGGCGTGTCGGTGAGAAGACAGCTTCATTAGCTCCTCCCCAGCCACCCGTCCCCTGTGCAGAGATGACTGAAGCCCTCCCACTCCCATCAGCCTGGGAGGGCTCAGAGCCCTTAGTTTGGTCTCTAAGGGGTCATCCTGAGCTGCCCCTCCACAGGCAGCTCTCCTGCCTGAGGTCATAGGCCTCCCCTTCAAGGTAGGAGGCACCATCCCCTTCAAATGTATCCCTGACAGCTCCCTCACCGCCTGTCACCATGCCTGGAGTCCCACCATTAGAGGCGTCGCTGAGCCACATCCGCCTCCACAAGTCTACCTCTGGCATCAGGAGACAGAGCACAGGCTGGAGCCAGTTGAAGACACTCCTCTCTGTTGTGCAACTGGTTTCCTCTTTCTGAGCCTCAGTTTGCTCATCTTGAAGATGTTGACCTAGAATCTACAATAGATCATCTCCAAGCCCTTTGATCGCTGAGATTACAAGGTTCTGTGGGGGAACTCCAGGTCCTGAGAAGATGCCAGTATATCTGGGTGAAGGGAAGAGCTTGCAGGTCCTAAGGCCCCCTTGGGAGAGGCAACATACCTGCCTTGTGACTGTGCAGGAGACTTCTCATGTCCAGTAATAAAATCATGTTGGATCTTCCAAGGTTTGACCCAAAGAAAAGTCTCTCCAGGGAGCAGTCTGGGCTCCCAGGGAATTGGTTAATAGGAAGCTTCCTGAAAGGTCTCTAAAATTGAAGCTGAGGCGGCCATCATAACTATACAATGAGAGTGCAGGGTCATCTCCCATAGACTCTGAGCAAACAGGGAGAAGGAGGCTTGTGTGCTCAATCTGGCATGTCTCAGCCACTCCAAGAGGAAATGAAAAGGCTCTGTGTCTGCATGAATGCACTCTTGCCCACGAGTGCCCGCATGAAGTGGGAGCCCCGGAAAGAGTCTGTGTCAGAGAGTGGACCACAGCCTAAGCTAATTTCCTCTCAGAGTAACTCCATTTATTGATAATCTTGAGAGAGCCCTGGTGGTTCTATCAAAAGAGCTTGATGGGCCAAAATACCCAATATTCACCCATGCTCCTTGCACATTATCGAAAAACTGTCGAGCCACTGAGCCCCACTCAGCACAATCCTGCTCTGCAAAGCCATGTGAGACATAGGCCTGCCTTCAAGATTCTGGCACAACCAGATGAAATCACAATGAGTGTAAGACCATTGCTGTTTAAGGAGAGGCTCATAAATCCGTTTTCACAGAGATTAGGAATGGAGAGTCAGAGGAGACAGTCGGGCAGTGGGAATGGCAAAGTCTCAGACACACACACACACACACACACACACACACAATGAGTGGAGAGAAGGTTCTTCTGGCTGGAATGAGAATAGTATGAGGAAATAGTGACCACAGTGGGCCTTCAGGATCTGGTTAAGGAATTTAGAACTTAATTCTATAAACAGAGGGAATCTATTAAGGACTTTTGTAACAAAAAGGGCTGGAGCTGGGAAAGCCTAGAGATCACATCTAATCCAACCCTTCATGTTACAGGTGCAGAACCTGAGACCCAGAGAGGGGAAGGGATGTGCTTATAGTCATCCAGGATTTTTAGAACCAGGGCTGGGCACAGTACATGTAAGCCACTGTTGACTTCATGCCAGAAGTAGTTGTGTTCTATGTGGATGGAGCACACTCCTGCCATCCCAGTCCTGGGATCTCTGTCCTCTCTGGGGACAATGGATGCTTTCAGCTGTACACAGGCAGGGTGCAGCTTCCAGCCACCCAGCTTCCCCTTGTAGCCAGAAAGAGGGTGGTTTTCAGCACCACTGAGATGGTGGACAGTTCCTACATGCTTAGCCTCCCATTTGGAGAGGATTTATAGGAATTTTTAGCACCAGAAAAGCTCCGGACAGCTTCTGGCCACCCAGTTTCCCTGCTAGGAAGCCCCAGGGAGGAGGGAGGGCGCCCTGGGGAGTTGGGTTGATGTGTTGACTTCTATTATCAGGGGGCCCAGATGTAAAATGAATGCCT